TTTTAAGAGGACGGGTTGAATCTACAGGGATTAACTCCTCCACATTAAATGCAAACCCTCATGTTCAGCTGGGGAGCAGGAGATCATGGAAAAGAGACAGTAGAGTGGGTGCAGCCCAGGAGGACGGTGTGAGTGGACTCAGGGAGGGAACATCATCTCCAAGAAAATTGCGGAGCACCACACGAGTAAGTACGGCTCTCTTGAACTAAAGCACTTCATTCAGTACCCTTGGCCTCTGGTAGGGAATATAGTTAGGGGAGTGTCTTATTTAATTGTCCCAAATAAAGTCATATATTGTTAAGTGTTATTAAATGTGTATTAATGGTTTCTTGTCTTAATGTTATTGGGCCTAACGTCCCCCTAGTGACCTAGTGTCCGTAATTATCCAGTACTCCTCCCACCGTCCGTCCCGTGTTGAGGTGTTAGTATTGGGTGTGTCCCGCCTTATTCTTGTGTACACTATAGTTCCCAAGTGGTCAGGATTATTCGAGTGTCAGGCCAGGATCCTTGTACCGTTCAATTGTCCCCTACACCTGTCCTGGTAGGTTATTCCATCTGCAAGACCTACGACTCTCACTCCGGTCCCCTGTCCGGTAACTCAGGGTGGTGGCAGCGTCACTCGGTAACTCATACGATATTCTGTGACTACGAATATCTCTATCTTTCTGTCTCGCTCTCCCTCACTAGTGTCTCACTCTCCCTCGCCCTCACTCGCTCTCGTTCTCCCTCCCTTGCTCTCGTTCTCGCTCTGCCTCACTCTTCCTCTCTCTCTCTCTCTCTCTCTCTCTCTCTCTCTCTCTCTCTCTCTCTCTCTCTCTCTCTCTCTCTCTCTCTCTCCACTCTCACTATAACCCTTTGCTTCCTTGGTGAGAGGTATGCGCGTGTGTATTCACTATTTGTATCTAAATACTTCCGCCTGCAGAATAGGGATGCTAGCTCTTGGACCCCGCCTTTCTAACTGTTGGTTGTCTAATTTACTCACTCCCGACCATTTTTTTCATTATATCTGAGACATATGTATTTCTCTCGCTCATATACGTATATAATATTCTGAGGATGCACCCCGTAGCAGCCGTCAAACTCCCAGGTACCTATTTAGTGCTAGGTGAACAGGGACATCAGGTGAAAAAATCGGCCCATTTATTTTTGCCTCGACGGGGAGTCGAACTCGTGCCCTTTGGACTACGAATCCAGAGCGCTGTCCACTCGGCTACGAGGACCTGTGTGTGAACTCACCTAGATGTGCTTGCAGGGTCGAGGTAGTCTCCTAGCATGCGTATATGTGTATATATCCAAGTCAAGAGTATATATATATACTATTGTATTATTGTTTTACCTTTGTTACATTGTTAATCACTACAATTCTCCCGACTGCCGCGTGGCCGCGAGGCAGAGGGACCACGAGCCCCACAACCTTAAACTACATCACTCAACATTTAATGAACTTGCCGGGATCTTTAAGGCCCGCTCCTCCTCCTCAAGTAAGTTTGAAATTACGCGAAGTAACGAGAAAGACTTAATTAAGTCCCCGGCCCTCGCCTGGGACTTGGCTGATTAACTTAAGTCCCGGCATGTGTTGACATCCCGGTGCAACCCGTTCTCGCAAATTTAATAAGTCAATATTGACTTATTAACTACGTGCATAGGTGATATACTAAACATAATAGATACCCTTAAAAAGATTCATAGAAAACACCGACCTTACCTAACCTTGTTAGTATCTTAAGATAAGCATCTTATTGCTTCGTAATTACAATTATTACTTAACCTATAATAGGCATCCCGGACACCATCAGACACCTGCCGGATGGTCTGACACCTGCACCTAGCTGCAGGTGTCCAGGGTCACCTAGCTGCAGGTGTCCAGGGTCACCTAGCTACAAGTGTCCAAGCTCACCTAGCTACAAGTGTCCAAGCTCACCTAGCTACAAGTGTCCAAGCTCACCTAGCTACAAGTGTCCAAGCTCACCTAGCTACAAGTGTCCAAGCTCACCTAGCTGCAAGTGTCCAAGCTCACCTAGCTACAAGTGTCCAAGCTCACCTAGCTGCAAGTGTCCAAGCTCACCTAGCTACAAGTGTCCAAGCTCACCTAGCTGCAAGTGTCCAAGCTCACCTAGCTACAAGTGTCCAAGCTCACCTAGCTACAAGTGTCCAAGCTCACCTAGCTGCAAGTGTCCAAGCTCACCTAGCTACAAGTGTCCAAGCTCACCTAGCTACAAGTGTCCAAGCTCACCTAGCTGCAAGTGTCCAAGCTCACCTAGCTACAAGTGTCCAAGCTCACCTAGCTACAAGTGTCCAAGCTCACCTAGCTGCAAGTGTCCAAGCTCACCTAGCTACAAGTGTCCAAGCTCACCTAGCTACAAGTGTCCAAGCTCACCTAGCTGCAGGTGTCCAGGGTCACCTAGCTACAAGTGTCCAAGCTCACCTAGCTACAAGTGTCCAAGCTCACCTAGCTACAAGTGTCCAAGCTCACCTAGCTACAAGTGTCCAAGCTCACCTAGCTACAAGTGTCCAAGCTCACCTAGCTACAAGTATCCAAGCTCACCTAGCTACAAGTGTCCAAGCTCACCTAGCTGCAAGTGTCCAAGCTCACCTAGCTGCAAGTGTCCAAGCTCACCTAGCTGCAAGTGTCCAAGCTCACCTAGCTACAAGTGTCCAAGCTCACCTAGCTGCAAGTGTCCAAGCTCACCTAGCTACAAGTGTCCAAGCTCACCTAGCTACAAGTGTCCAAGCTCACCTAGCTACAAGTGTCCAAGCTCACCTAGCTGCAAGTGTCCAAGCTCACCTAGCTACAAGTGTCCAAGCTCACCTAGCTACAAGTGTCCAAGCTCACCTAGCTACAAGTGTCCAAGCTCACCTAGCTACAAGTGTCCAAGCTCACCTAGCTGCAAGTGTCCAAGCTCACCTAGCTGCAAGTGTCCAAGCTCACCTAGCTACAAGTGTCCAAGCTCACCTAGCTTCAAGTGTCCAAGCTCACCTAGCTACAAGTGTCCAAGCTCACCTAGCTGCAAGTGTCCAAGCTCACCTAGCTGCAAGTGTCCAAGCTCACCTAGCTACAAGTGTCCAAGCTCACCTAGCTACAAGTGTCCAAGCTCACCTAGCTGCAAGTGTCCAAGCTCACCTAGCTGCAAGTGTCCAAGCTCACCTAGCTGCAAGTGTCCAAGCTCACCTAGCTACAAGTGTCCAAGCTCACCTAGCTGCAAGTGTCCAAGCTCACCTAGCTGCAAGTGTCCAAGCTCACCTAGCTACAAGTGTCCAAGCTCACCTAGCTACAAGTGTCCAAGCTCACCTAGCTACAAGTGTACAAGCTCACCTAGCTACAAGTGTCCAAGCTCACCTAGCTACAAGTGTCCAAGCTCACCTAGCTACAAGTGTCCAAACTCACCTAGCTGCAGGTGTCCAAGCTCACCTAGCTACAAGTGTCCATGCTCACCTAGCTACAAGTGTCCAAGCTCACCTAGCTACAAGTGTCCAAGCTCACCTAGCTACAAGTGTCCAAGCTCACCTAGCTGCAAGTGTCCAAGCTCACCTAGCTGCAAGAGTCCAAGCTCACCTAGCTGAAAGTGTCCAGGATCACCTAGCTGCAGGTGTCCAGGGTCACCTAGCTGCAAGTGTCCAAGCTCACCTAGCTGCAGGTGTCCAGGATCACCTAGCTGCAAGTGTCCAAGATCACCTAGCTACAAGTGTCCAGGATCACCTAGCTACAAGTGTCCAGGGTCACCTAGCTGCAAGTGTCCAAGCTCACCTAGCTACAAGTGTCCAAGCTCACCTAGCTACAAGTGTCCAAGCTCACCTAGCTACAAGTGTCCAAGCTCACCTAGCTACAAGTGTCCAAGCTCACCTAGCTGCAAGTGTCCAAGCTCACCTAGCTGCAAGTGTCCAAGCTCACCTAGCTGCAAGTGTCCAAGCTCACCTAGCTGAAAGTGTCCAAGCTCACCTAGCTGCTAGTGTCCAAGCTCACCTAGCTGCAAGTGTCCAAGCTCACCTAGCTGAAAGTGTCCAGGATCACCTAGCTGCAGGTGTCCAAGCTCACCTAGCTGCAAGTGTCCAAGCTCACCTAGCTGCAAGTGTCCAAGCTCACCTAGCTGCAAGTGTCCAAGCTCACCTAGCTGCAAGTGTCCAAGCTCACCTAGCTGAAAGTGTCCAGGCTCACCTAGCTGCAGGTGTCCAAGCTCACCTAGCTGCAAGTGTCCAAGCTCACCTAGCTGCAAGTGTCCAAGCTCACCTAGCTGAAAGTGTCCAAGCTCACCTAGCTACAAGTGTCCAAGCTCACCTAGCTACAAGTGTCCAAGCTCACCTAGCTGCAAGTGTCCAAGCTCACCTAGCTACAAGTGTCCAAGCTCACCTAGCTCCAGGTGTCCAAGCTCACCTAACTACAAGTGTCCAGGGTCACCTAGCTGCAGGTGTCCAGGGTCACCTAGCTGCAGGTGTCCAGGGTCACCGGCTATTTCTACAACAGTTAACATCCACACCCCCACCTCCACGGCCTCAGCATTCAGAGAGACGCAGGATTCGACCCAAGACGGGTATGCGGCCGACGCGGTGCTTGGCGCTGGCCTGGCGCGCGCCAGGCGCCGCTCCTCGCCAGTAACTCGCTGACTAAAAATCTCTGGTGTTGGAGCCGTGAGTCAACAACAGCACCAGTGCTCGGGGGCAGGAATGTGAGGAGCCTCGGGGGGGGGGGGGGGGGGGGGGGGGGGGGGAGAGAGGTCGAAGGTTTAGTTGTTGTAAATAATTAAGTGATACGCAGTTCTTGGTGTGTGGAGGAGACATGAAGTCCTGTTGAGTCAGCTGCTTCAGCCGCTGTGAACAATAACCAACTGGTGCTGACACTGACCCAACTGGTGCTGACGGTGCTGACACTGACCCAACTGGTGCTGACGGTGCTGACACTGACCCAACTGGTGCTGACGGTGCTGACACTGACCCAACTGGTGCTGACGGTGCTGACACTGACCCAACTGGTGCTGACGGTGCTGACACTGATCCAACTGGTGCTGATGGTGCTGACACTGACCCAACTGGTGCTGACGGCGCTGACACTGACCCAACTGGTGCTGACGGCGCTGACACTGACCCAACTGGTGCTGACGGTGCTGACACTGACCCAACTGGTGCTGACGGCGCTGACACTGACCCAACTGGTGCTGACGGCGCTGACACTGACCCAACTGGTGCTGACGGCGCTGACACTGATCCAACTGGTGCTGACGGCGCTGACACTGACCCAACTGGTGCTGACGGCGCTGACACTGACCCAACTGGTGCTGACGGCGCTGACACTGACCCAACTGGTGCTGACGGCGCTGACACTGACCCAACTGGTGCTGACGGCGCTGACACTGACCCAACTGGTGCTGACGGCGCTGACACTGACCCAACTGGTGCTGACGGCGCTGACACTGATCCAACTGGTGCTGACGGCGCTGACACTGATCCAACTGGTGCTGACGGTGCTGACACTGATCCAACTGGTGCTGACGGTGCTGACACTGACCCAACTGGTGCTGACGGCGCTGACACTGACCCAACTGGTGCTGACGGCGCTGACACTGACCCAACTGGTGCTGACGGTGCTGACACTGACCCAACTGGTGCTGACGGTGCTGACACTGACCCAACTGGTGCTGACGGCGCTGACACTGACCCAACTGGTGCTGACGGCGCTGACACTGACCCAACTGGTGCTGACGGCGCTGACACTGACCCAACTGGTGCTGACGGCGCTGACACTGACCCATCTGGTGCTGACGGCGCTGACACTGACCCAACTGGTGCTGACGGCGCTGACACTGACCCAACTGGTGCTGACGGCGCTGACACTGACCCAACTGGTGCTGACGGCGCTGACACTGACCCAACTGGTGCTGACGGTGCTGACACTGACCCAACTGGTGCTGACGGCGCTGACACTGACCCAACTGGTGCTGACGGCGCTGACACTGACCCAACTGGTGCTGACGGTGCTGACACTGACCCAACTGGTGCTGAGGCCACTAACACTGACCCAACTGGTGCTGACGGTGCTGACACTGACCCAACTGGTGCTGACGGTGCTGACACTGACCCAACTGGTGCACCTGTCCAGGCCACCTGTCCAGGGCCACCTGTCCTGGCCACCTGTCCAGGGCCACCTGTCCAGGGCCACCTGTCCAGGGCCACCTGTCCTGGCCACCTGTCCAGGGCCACCTGTCCGGGCCACCTGTCCAGGCCACCTGTCCTGGGCCACCTGTCCTGGCCACCTGTCCAGGGCCACCTGTCCGGGCCACCTGTCCAGGCCACCTGTCCAGGGCCACCTGTCCGGGCCACCTGTCCAGGGCCACCTGTCCGGGCCACCTGTGGCTCATATACTAAAAGTGACCTTCGATAAAATCTCATATGAAATAGAAAAAACATATCTGCGTTCCGTGGTTGCTGTATTATATTGTATTTTGTTGACCTTCCCTCCCTCTCGCTCCTCCTCGTGTCCATCATGCCCTCATACTGCCCAGAGAGACACTTTCTGAATACACTTTTACAGTGCCACACTTTCTCTTCCCTCAGGGACTATACCTGCGTGGGGTCACCATACTGGCTCAAGATGGCTGCCAACATGGCTGCTATTTAATATATTTACTTGCTGTAACGATTAATTTACTACTCTATCACGTTCTTGTACATGTTTTTGTAAAAAAATTATTATTAAAATAATAATAATAATAATAATAATAATAATAATAATAATAATGATAATGACTCGTTGCTAAAGGACTCTCGACTCTTCCGTTTTCAGTTGGTAAAAGTAAAGTAAAGGTAAAAGTTTTCAGTTTAATAAAGTAAAGTTTATGAAAGTGTAAAACAACTTTTGATAAATCTGAACCATTGGTTTATTGTTTACCTCTTTACTTTTCCTTCGCCTTAACATGTAAAATAATTTTATTTTATTTCACCGGTCGACAGCAACACTCCGCGCGGCCATATTTTCCCGCCAAAACACTCGCTACAGTTTTTAAATATTCGAAAAGCGGCGGTAAACCTTTTGCGGAACTCCAAGAAATATTTTTGACCTTCCGGGTGCTGGAAGAAAACACGGGTGACCAAAACTGAGTGAGAAGGAATATAAATCTTTCGCGTGGAATAAATTTAGCTCGGCCTGGATATATATTAGAGTAATGGCAGGTGTTTATATCTGTGTGGTGATGGTGTATGTTGTGTGGGGAGGGGGGAGGGGTTGGCCCAGAATGATAACAAAGGGGGGGTGGAACTCCCTGTGGCTTATCAAGAACTTAAGTGATTGTCAAGGGAATTATTCAGTGATAGAGAAAGAAACATTGGCTCTCGTGGTGAGCGCTGTGTAACTAGTTGTTTTAAATGGGGGAGGGAGGGTTTTCGCCGGTGTCGACGCCATCTGTTGAGCACACCTGACCCCATTTTCTGTTCCCAAGTGGATGGATGTGATCTTACTGACACCTGTATAGTTTCCTTCTTACTATTCATCTTTTACTCCTCAGAAGTGATGTGGGTGATCCTTCAGTCGACAGGAATCAGTCCACCCAGGCCAGTCCTGTGTTCAAGAAGTGTTCCAGAGAGAACAAGTGGGCCGAGTCAGTGTAGACTGTGATTTGTCTGTGATACCTAGTGAAGTATTGGTGATTGGGCCGACCTATCTCATGATGGCCAAGTTGAGTTACAAGATGGAATTAGTGTCAGTCTGTTAAGGCTTGTTATAATTGATGACTATGTGCCACTAGTCATCAGTGGCAGTCGTCAGCCAGTGTGTTGCTGGAGACCCCTGCCAGTGTGTTGCTGGAGACCCCGGCCAGTGTGTTGCTGGAGACCCCTGCCAGCGTGTTGCTGGAGACCCCTGCCAGTGTGTTGCTGGAGACCCCTGCCAGTGTGTTGCTGGAGACCCCGGCCAGTGTGTTGCTGGAGACCCCTGCCAGCGTGTTGCTGGAGACCCCTGCCAGCGTGTTGCTGGAGACCCCTGCCAGCGTGTTGCTGGAGACCCCTGCCAGTGTGTTGCTGGAGACCCCGGCCAGTGTGTTGCTGGAGACCCCTGCCAGCGTGTTGCTGGAGACCCCTGCCAGCGTGTTGCTGGAGACCCCTGCCAGTGTGTTGCTGGAGACCCCGGCCAGTGTGTTGCTGGAGACCCCTGCCAGCGTGTTGCTGGAGACCCCTGCCAGCGTGTTGCTGGAGACCCCTGCCAGTGTGTTGCTGGAGACCCCGGCCAGTGTGTTGCTGGAGACCCCTGCCAGTGTGTTGCTGGAGACCCCTGCCAGTGTGTTGCTGGAGACCCCTGCCAGTGTGTTGCTGGAGACCCCTGCCAGTGTGTTGCTGGAGACCCCGGCCAGTGTGTTGCTGGAGACCCCTGCCAGTGTGTTGCTGGAGACCCCTGCCAGTGTGTTGCTGGAGACCCCTGCCAGTGTGTTGCTGGAGACCCCTGCCAGTGTGTTGCTGGAGACCCCTGCCAGTGTGTTGCTGGAGACCCCTGCCAGTGTGTTGCTGGAGACCCCTGCCAGTGTGTTGCTGGAGACCCCTGCCAGTGTGTTGATGGAGACCCCTGCCAGCGTGTTGCTGGAGACCCCGGCCAGTGTGTTACTGGAAGAGAAGTGGTGTTGCGACACCGTGACAATACTCTACAAGACTGACCCATGATTTACTGAAAAAGTTAAACTCGCCGGCGTGTGGACCATAGAAGACCCTGCCAGTAGGACTCAGGGAGGGAAGCTTGAGTAGTGTACGAGAGAAGACAGAAGTGGACTCGCCGAAAAAGAAGACTGCAATAGTCCTTTTATAGTGTCTCGTGGGAAAGCGACACCTGCAGTGTCAAGTACACATGTGTAGTTGACACCTGCAGTGTCAAGTACACATGTGTATATATTTAAGAAGTACACTTGGTGAATGTGCTGTTAAGTGTTGTGTACCACCCTTTCTCGTAAGATTAATTATTATTGTCAGTTCTTGGCAACTTACCCATGCCTCGGGGCGGGAGGGAGTAATAAGAGGCATTAAGGCCCCATATACAGTTCACCAAGAAAGGAACCTGGTTACAGGCTAAGTGGGGCCGTGATGACATACAATACTGCTAACACACAACTTTTCCCTAATACATGACAATTACAATAAGAAATGAAGGTTATGTAGAAAGCTTTTTGGCCCATATGAGCGAGCTCCTGTTTATATATCCACACATATAAGAAACAGCATAACAATCCCCCCCCCATACGAAATGTATATGTTTATCTCTGAGAATGTTTGGTAATATGTTTATTGTTTGTGATGTGTGTCTATGTATGTATTAACACGATGTACTGAACGGGGTGAGAATAGCTTGAGCTACCTCATCCCTTTGTGTGTATTTTACCTCAATAAACTTATTTCAATTTCAATTTCAATCTCCCCCCCCCCCACTCGGCCAGCTCCAGCTGGTAGCCAGTCGACACAAATCGGTCAGAATCGGCTTATCAGACAATGAATTACTTCCTAACTTTTTTTCTAATTTACCAAGATATTATTTACATTTTAATCACACCTCAACAATTCTTATGCAACTTTGTCAACTCTACACTGTAAACTCTTTATAATTTTATTTTTCTCTAAATTGACAAAAGCTTTATATATATATATATATATATATATATATATATATATATATATATATATATATATATATATATATATATATATATTTTTTTTTTTTTTTTCTTATCAATAGTTACTAAACTTCCCATTTACATACCTTGCGATGATTTCGGGGCTCAACGTCCCCCGCGGCCCGGTCCTCGACCAGGCCTCCTGTTGCTGTACAGGTCAACCAGGCTGTTGGACGCGGCTGCTCGCAGCCTCACGTATGAATCACAGCCTGGAAATACATTTTCAAGATGTTAAATTTTGCATACAGAATTTCACCTGATCAACATCTTAAATTAACTACTAACTCTCCAGTATGCAAATTAAGCAGATTATTTACGTTCAAGTTTGACTATTGCTGAGTTATAACAGCTGACTAACCATTGTGATTTTGTATACTACTCGCATGATAGTATGAGGGGCTAGGAGCGCTGTCACATGTCCACCAGTCCCCGAGGAGGGTAGAAATAGCCTAAGCTACTCTATCCGTTGTTGTTGTTAAAGATTGAGCTACTCAGGATGAAGTGTCCATGTAGCACGGACTATGGTGAGCCCGTAAACAGTACTCTATCCCTTTGAGGTGTATTTTATTGTCTCAATAAAGGTACTTGTACCTGACCCCCGTCCCAGGTGTTGGGTGGGGGGGGTGATTGGGGTCTGGGTGGAGGACGGTGGGGGGGGGGGTGATTGGGGTCTGGGTGGAGACGGTGGCGGGTTGCCCACTCTCCCGCTCCTCGTCCTCTATTGACACCTTTTCAACCGTCTTCCTTTCACTTTTACACCTATTTTGCAAAGTGTTAACAAAATGAACGCTTAAAAATCCTCCAACACCACGAAGATTGAAAATTATGATTGGTGCTCGTCAAGGGTTGCCGGCTCTCGCCAGCGCAGGTAAACGTAGTATAGTGTCGTAGTGCCTGGAATGGGGGGGGGGGGGGGGGGGGAGGTGACAGGGGAGGGGGGGGGGGTGACGGGGACAGGGGGGGGGGAGTGGTAGGGTTGGCTGCACACTTTTATGAAGGACCGCGATATACATTTTAGGGGGAGGGAATAGGCCTATTTTTTACCATGAGCGTCACCACGGGGGGGGGGGGGGGGTGGAGGGAGGCGCGGATTTTATCTAGTGTCGCAGTAATATTTTCCGGTAGAGCTGAGGGGGACTGTCGCCATTTCTGGGAACTTGACAACATCCTTCATCATACATTTCAATATTTGACTTGCCTGTACCGCACTAACTTTCCACTATGGTTTATTTTGATTGTTAAACCCACTAACAAAAAACTATAGTATCTATGCTAATTATTATTAAAAAAAGTAAATAAAATTAAAATTAAAATAAAACCCAATTGAATTCCATATTTGCATGAGTGTTTAATCACTTCCATAATCTCACACTCGAGAAGTAATATTTTAACCACAAGTGGACGACCCACACACACACACACACTCCTCGTCAGCTCTCATTTATCACTTTTTACTCTCTGGACCTGAAAGTCTCGCGCCAAAGCTTGGCACGTGCTACTGTTTACCTTTGTTTAAATGTCCATTCGCGCGGGAAGGCGGCCAGAAAATAAACTTGTGCTGACGTCACGCGAGCAGCTGTTCTGCGCCAACATTGTGGTTGTAGAGGTCAAGTAAAGCTCTCCCATCAACAGCTTTACTTTTCACAACAACAATCTCCACCCAGAGGTTGTAATATTCACCATACAACGCAAATTCAACATTGATTTAACGTCATCAACGTTGATTTAACGCCGAACCAACGCCACTCTCGGATACTGTGGCCACAGGATGGTTGTTGTTAGTGGTAGAGAGATGGTAGCGTGAGGGACGTGCAGGTCCCGACGCCCGGCAACCAGGAGGCCTGGTCGACGACCGGGCCGCGGGGACGCTAAGC